ACTATCTCTTACTGTAAGACATTCATTTTGACTTTAACATTCATGTCCAGCCTTGTTTTTGTGAAAAACCCTGAGTGATGCAGAACACCAGCTACGACCTGAGTGTCACAGTTGACAAGCCATTTGGCTTGCTGGTGGAAGTGTGCATGGTTCAACAGGGAAGCCATCAGATACTAATGTGAGACAGTAAGGTTGGTCACATGTCCTGCAAGGCACTAAAATTATAGTAATCATTGTTAATAAATGAATGCACATTTCTGTGCATTCTTTTTTACCTGCTTCATCAGAGTAATAACAGAGATGGGAAATAGAGCTCTGTCAACGATTCTTCTGCGAAAAATATCAATATGCTATTGAAATTTATTCTGATGTTTTGTTTCGGCTTACAGTTGCTCTACAAATACATAAAATAGGGGCAGAAAGGACCCTAAAGATCATCCAGTTCTGATCCCCATGCCATGAGAATAGACACCCTCAAGTAGACCAGGTTGCTCTGAGCCCTGTCCAACCTGGCCTAAAACACGTCTAAGTCTGAGGCAGCCACAAGTCAGCCTAGAGTGGAATTAAAAAACAGAATCCCAAAACGTTAGAAATCATAGAAATGTAAACAGTTAAAACTTTCAAAAATAGAGATACTTGGTAACACTGCTTAATGTTCTAGATTTTGACAGCTTAAAACACTGTTATGCTACAGTCTTTCACTGACAGGTGAATGAAATAAGTCCAATCAAATGTATTTCTGTTTGCTGCATGTGTGATTTTGTAAACATGACACCACAAACATTTTTTACAGTTATACTAAATTCCAATACTTGCCTTTCAAATTGTTGACTTTTAGCAGAGAGATTGCCTGCATCACAGATTCATGATACACTGTCCTTCAGGAAAATAGATGTATTGCAGGGGTGGTGGTGATGCTATCCGTAGTGAGACCATGATGCCACATCAAATAGAAAACGTGGAGGAAAACTGATCTGTTTGTGTGGGAATAAAGATAAAAATTATAATTTCAGAAAAAGCATTTGAAATGTGCTGATACTTGGCTGGGATGTGGATGCTGAGTGGCTTCTGATATGCCACAACCAAACCCCAGAAAGAAGCATGATATTCCATTCTGCAGTAGCCCTCCACTGAGCACATGGCAGACCCCTAGTGTCATTTTTTAAAGGATATCTTGCGAAAAAAAAAGATTTTGATGGTCCCTGTTAAAGCAAATTGAGAAAATGGAATTATATAGTTCCTTTGGTGTCGTGTGAAAAGAATTACAGTTGGTACATGATATGTAGATGCAGTTCCATCTACCAAACCCAAAATCCAGTTCAGATAAAAGGTACTTGTCCTTGTGGTGTTATTGTAGGAGTTGCAGCACCTGCCCTCCCTTCCTTGGACCTTGCACTTCATGATTGAGGCCATCATATGTGATCCAAAAAGATTCTTTGTCCTCATTTTTACAATATGTTTTGAACTACATGCATTCTATAAATATTTTCATGTTCTTTTCTTCATTTGTACCATACTGTACAATGCTAATAAGTGATATCTGGCTCTAGTAGAAGATAGAATTCTTATGTAGTTTTGCAATACTAGCAACTGCCTTAATCAGGTTATGACTAAAATTGGAAAAATTTCCATTTGCCATCCAAGTCAGGTATATACAGAGAACGCACTGTGGTCTACAATGCAGTATGGATATATGGACTAAACTAAGAGAAAGAGAATGGACACTTTTGCCTGCTCACCTTCCTCCTTGAAAGTACAGAAACACCTTTTTAATATGAGCAGCAATCCCACAGAGAGAATGTGGTCTATGCTGTTAGAAATTAAAAGAAGCAGCAAGGACCACCAGGACAGTTTTGTTATTCTTGATGTGCACACCTTAACACAGCAGTAAGAAGTGAAGAAACAAAAGATTGAAACAGAAGATGCAATCATCTGTTGAACTGATAGTCAGAAATCCCGTGTTGTAACCAGTGTAAAATGTAGTCTTTTTCTGTTGTTCATTACCACTCATCATTTCAGCAAGTGGAAGTTTCATTTTCACAGTATTTTGTATGGTTCTCCTATGTGTTTACAACTATTTGATTTATATTTGTTTTCAACTGTAGTTTCAAATGTATAAAATGGCCCCAAATCTTTTTTCTTGTCTCTAGCCACTCTGTATTGGAAGAGCCAACAAAACTGTGGCAACAACAACAAAACGAGTAATTTTGGATGTAAAGCCTGTTTGCTTTGAAAAAGATTTGTATGTTGGTGTATAAAAATGTTACCAGGTCTGATTGCTTTCTTGTTTTCAAGAGAAGTGATTCTGAATTAGGAGGCTTGAAAAACAGATCAAAGGGAAGAACTTTGTTCAAGACACCTCTATCACAGGTTCAATTAGTAATTACAATATTCCACTGTGGTCTAGGAAAATGTAAGAAGCACTCTTTCTGTACGTGATTTAATCAGGTCTTTTTGTAGTTCATTGCATGACTGAGATAAAAAATGCCATTGATAAATTCAGAGAATAAGACAGTGATTCACACATCCTTCAGTTCAGATTGGGTGAAGGAGAAGGGCACACTGAACAAAAGAATTAAAAGTGGTTTAATGACTGACAGCACTTCCATGATATATTGTTCCAAATAATCTAATTTGATTTACACTAATTCAGTGTAAATGTAATCCATTTGTCAAGGAAGTGTCTTGTAATTTATAGTTTAGCATGAATATATGCCATCGGAGAATGATTTTGATTCAGTAAGCTCATGTTTGTGCAGCAACAACAAAAAAAAAGAAAATATTCCTTAAACAGAAAAACAGAGACATTACTGCAGTAATCTGGAAGGAGCAACTGCTGTCCTCAGGTATCCAGTGGGTCCCAGGCTGGGCTGTTTCAGACATCCTCCTTCCAGCCTGAAGACGAAATTTTTGAAAATTCTCTCTCTAATTTTGAGCATGCTTAATTCACAGAATCACAGAATATGTTGAATTGGAAACAGATTGAGGGATCCTGTTAATGCTCATTTCCCCAAGTTTTGGCACACCACCTCATTGCTCATCACTGGACAGCCTGGTTTTGTTCCTTTCCCCCTTCCAAGTTAGTTTAAAGTTTTTCATCAAGCCCCACTAGCTCCTGGGCTAGAGCTCTTCTTCCCCTCTGTGACAGGTGCATCCTGTCAGGTGTCAGTAGACCACATGTTGAGTAGATTATCCCACAGTCAATGAATGCAAAATTTTCCCTCTGACACCAGCCTTGGAGCTGTGGATTGACCTGATGGATCTGCCTATTCCTCTCAAACTAGTGGATTTCTTTGTCTCTGAAAGCCCTTCTTTCCAGGTTTACGGTCTTTTGTTTCATAGGCTTTCTGAGAGAGACAAGAGAATCTGTATGTAAGAGCCTCATGGCAAAGTACTGCTCAGAGAGCAATAGAAATAATGCTGTAGTCTTATGATTATATTTTAATAGCTTTCTTTTTATTTTAAGGTACTTCAACCTAATCCCCCAAGTTATCCCAGTTACAGTATCCAATGTAGCATTGTTTTCAGCTGTTAACAGGTGGTTTTTAAAGCCCTCTTTAGATGATACATGGGGCCCACATAGTGAAGTCAATAGTTAGACAGGATATAATTTAGACTTCAGCTTTTCCTCTCAGTTTGAAATGAAATGATTACATTTCAGGAAAGCCTAAGGAAAGATTTAAAGTTTTATATCAAAAGTTGAATATTTTCTTTTGTTGTACCCTCTTCTTTTAAAGAAAATGGTATTCATTTAAAATAATGCTTGTTCTGATGTATTTGAAAAGGCACTACTCTGAGTTAAAAAGAAATTCATAAAGTATGCATGTATGGGAGGGGAAAATTGCATTCTTCACTGGAGCATTTAGTCAAAGGGTTTTAATGCAGCCCATTCTGCTTAATTGATAGAATGAGATATCTACAAAGACAAGCTGTAAATAACAGATGGCCAATGGCATTTACAGAGCAGCTGTTAAGGTGACAAAATCTTCAGGGGCTCCTCTCCACAGGCAGGTTATGAAGCGATATTATAGTCTCTGTTTCAGACTGGAAAATGGTCCTTGACTGTATTTAAACCCATCAAAAGTGGTTCTAGGCAATAGCTCCACATAGTTACAGTTCTGGTAACCCTTGTAACCCTTGTGATGATGCCTTTAATTTCTTGTACCCTATAGTTATAAAACGGTAGAGGCCACTTGTAGCATACAAAATTGTAAAGCTGACATGGGACTCAAAAATAGGGGGAATATCCCAGATATTCATAGAGTAAGAAGTGAGGAGTAAGATAAGAACAGAATAAATTTGCTGTGTGATAAGGTAAGGTTGCTTTAACTGTTGATATCTATGGGTCTGCTTTACCAAGGATGCCCTGGGCACATTTTTTTTAAAGCATTACCTATTAAATGGAATTCCTGGAAATATCCTAAAAGCAAATGTGTCTCTTATAGGAGTTCACCACACCAGCCAAATGAGCCAAGGTCTTCTTTTTCCAGAAGCCATCAGAAGAGTCTAAAAATAAGCTTGCTGTAGCTAAGTAGACTGCTCTCATACTTGTTCAAATATAGACTGCAAAAACTGTTACTGTTACTTAAGGGGAGAGTAGGAAGGGGAGAACTAGGAAGTTGAAATTTTCTTATGATTTTATTGCAGAAAAAAAGAGCTAATTTCTTTCAGTATATTCGTCTGGGAGAAAAAAAAATAATTCTTCTACCTGTTAGCACAAATGAATACTATTGTGTTAAGGCAACACGACCAACATTGTTTTACATTCATTTGCCTAATATCAATGGTGCTTATTTTCACATGTGGACACCTGGCCATGGGAACTTAGATTAACATTGCCTCATTAGCCTCCACACCACCAATTAAATAGGCAGGCAGTAACAAATATTGAGGTTGATAGAGGATTTAAGAGCAGGTGCTCGTGGTACAGAACGGTGAAAGTCTGTTTTCAACTGAAATGACTCAGAAAGGGATGAATTGTTAATGTGTTGTTATTCCAGATTTCCAGAAGAACTGATGTGGTGGCAGAATTAAGACGACAATTAATGGCTGCTGAGGAAGAAGACAGTTTATCATATCCTCCTCTGAATGTGACCACTGGAAATTATTCATGCATCCTTTTTTATGCTAGTAATTTCAGCCTCAAAGCTAACAGTTCGGTTTTAATAGATTTGACAAATGCAACATTTTTAACACAGAACGTGGATATTTCTGCCTCTGAGTGCTCAGACAGCAACACAACGTGAGTAGCATAAGAAATTTCATATCATAATACATGTGATTCTGAAAACTCTCAGAAATGTTACAATGTAAAATCAGTGCTATTTTAATTTTCTTCTTCTAAAGCATCCAAATTTTTTTTAAATTTATACTTAGAAGAAAAAAGTTAAGTCAAGACCAAAAAAACTGTTCAGATGATGCCTCTTATTTTCACAAATTTTGTTCTTCCTGTTTTCCCTACTTCCTTGTTCGTTTTTATTTGCTCCAAACAGGTTTCCCTGCACCTGATCTCACAATCACAAAAATCTCCACTAGCATTAAGGAGATCATAATTTCATTCCCTTGAAGGGTAGTATTGCCAGTTGCAATGTAGTAACTCAGCTAGAAGTACATTAATGAAACGTGATCTCTGTTTTCCTTTACTTTGAAGCACCTGCTCTTGGGTAAATAAAAGGCTAGAAATATTTAGTCATATTTTTCAATGTACTGAACCTTTGCTATATGACTTTTGTAATTGCCTAGTGATTTACAATGTATCCCTCAAATTGAAATGTCACAAATGATCTAATTAAAGCTGACTAGTCTAACATTAAAAATCTGTTTCTTATTCTTAGGCTGTCATTAAAATACACAAAACCAGTGAATGGAATCAGCAGCCTAGAGATAAGGTAACTTGATTTATTTTAAATAGATCTTCTGTGGTTTACAATACCTGCTAGTAAATTAGGAGCAAAAGGTAGAGGAGAAGTTAAATTAAAATATTTATAAATTTATTATTTGCTTTCTCTTCTGGGGAGTCATGATGCAGGAAAACAATAGTATAGTCTTTATACAGAAAATATATGAATTAGCTCAGGTAAAGTTCTGAAAAAAATATTGTAGGCAAATATCCATACTGTAAGGTGCTGGTATATGCAGCTTCCTGTTTTACTAATAGGATCTGTCCACAGTCCTCTCAGGTAAATCTAACTGTGATTTATAAAAACTTTGGGGGGTTGGAAGTCTGCCTGCATGGCCAGGGCTGTATTGAGTCCTAATGTGGATTGCCAGTGCACTTTGTTAGTGCTAATTTGTGGTTAATGAGGGTTGCAAAAAGTTTTAAAGTTTCTACTGCTCCATGGGTGGTGACAAGACCATATTTCTCCTACCATGACAAGAAAGAAGAAAAGATAGGGAATTGGAAGACCTAGGAAGAAAAATTAAAGGGACAATCATAGAATTGTTTACACTGGAAAATATCTCTTTGATCATTGAATCCAATCTTTAACCCAGTGCTGTCAAGTCCACCACTAAACCATGTCCTAAATGCAACATCTTCTAAATATCTTCAAGGATGGAGACTCAAGCCACTTGCCTAGGGAACCTCTTCCAAAGCCTGGCAACCCTTTAACTGAAGAAATTTTTCCTAATATCCTGCCAAAACCTCCCTGGTGGAATTTGAGGCCATTTCCTCTTGTTCTGTGTCTTCTTACTTAGGAGTGGAAACTAACCCCCCCCTCGCTACAGCCTTCTGTCGCGTTGTTGTAGAGACTAAGGTCCCCCCTGAGCTTCCTCACCTCCAGGCTAAACACCTCCAGCTCCCTCAGCCACTCCTTGTCCCACAGGACTTGTGCTCCAGCCCCTTCAACAGTTTTGCTGCCCTTCCCTGGACATGCTCTGGTACCTCAATGTCTTTCTTGTAGTGAGAGGCCCAGAACTGAACTCCAGATTTGAGGTGCAGCCTCACCAGTGCTGAGTACAGGGGGACAAACACAGCCACACTATTGCTGATCCAGGCCAGGATACCTTTGGCCTTCTTGGCCATCTGAGAACAGGCAGGGTCAAGTTCAGGTGCCGTTGACCAGCACTCCCAGGTCCATTTCCACCAGGCATCTTTGCACCCACTCTGCCCCCAGCCTGTGGTCCTGCCTGGGGCTGTTATGACCCAAGTGCAGTACTTGGCATTGTTGAACCTCATACCATTGGCCCTGGCACATCAATCCAGCCTGCCCAGATAAATGCTCAAATGAATAAATGCCATTATTTACACTGAGACAGGAAGACATTCTGTGTTACATTAAAGAAGAACTTGTCTTGAGGAGAGTCAGTGATGTGTTTAGAGTGATATTCAGAGTATATAGAGACACTCGTAGTCAGTATCAGAGATCATGACAGGTGGCAAAAAACCAGACATACTTTGTTATTTAGTATCTCCCTTCTCCCTCAACCAGCTAAAGCTTTGTAAGAGAACATACTGTACAGATAAGATTGCCATTAGTATATTTTTTGACTATTGAAGTTAGCTGTGTATAGGATCCCTGGAACTTGTCCTTGGTGATGGTGTCAAGCATGCCTTGGACTCAATAATATAAATTATCAAAGAGACATGTATTTCTCTAAACACCATGGGGAATTAAGAAAATATTTTCCTTGGATCCCATTCAAAAGGTATTGATCTCAAACCAAGACTCTACCCAAGTTATATTTTTCCTTTTATTACAAGTCTCAAAATACCACTTTCTCTGGTGCTGTCTTGATGCTCTTCTGACTGCTCATTAGTGCTCCTATCCCACTCTGATAGACACAGGCCCTCCAAAACACTGCTACAATTCTCATTCTTCATCTTTGCACATCCTAGCACAAATCTCAGCTGGTCTGCTGTAATCTCCTTCTGTGTGAATGTGGTTGTTTCCTACATTTGTCCTGAATATGGCTATCCTCAGCATAATATCATCCTTTCTAGTAAAATTACAGTTCTGAGAAAATAGTACAAATCACAAAACATCCTATGGAGCATGGCACTGTGCTTCAAAACTAATTAATAGCTAGACCTTAAAGGTGTTGTTTTCTTGAGTAGTCAAGCGGCTTCCCTTAACTGTACAATGGCAAATTGCAAACCTTGAGACCATACTATAGAAACAAAATCCTTTTGCAATTGAAACATTTTTCTAAGATTTAGTTTTCTGTAGCTGGCAAAAGATCAAATGTGATGTTAGTGCATACGTGGATTTAGTGAAGATTAATTAGATTTATATTTAGTAATTTGTTTGTTAAAAACGTGTAATTTTAATTAATTATTGGATGAAAAATTTAATGCAGTCATGAATCTGGGTCGCATCTGGAGAGAAGGAGCTCTGCAGACAAACTGTAATTTAAGTGAAAATGCCAGTACAAAAGGTGAATGGTTCATGTTTTCTTTCTTTTTCAGGAAAACTTTTTATATCCTTTTGAGCCTGTTGTAGTAGAGGCAGAAATATTCACGATGTCTTTCTTGACCTGTGCTTCTACTTGAACACACTATAGCTAAATACCAAAATGCATAAACAGCTCTTGAAGCTGGAATAAGAAACTCAGGCTCCACAATAGGTGAGGACTTGAAAAGAGAGTTCAAGTAAGGTCATGGATATTTTCATGCCAAACATGTAAGAGTAGCATAGTCTGGCTGTGTTTTGCAGGAGAATTTGATTTATTCCATTGGGCCATACGTGATCCAGGTTTTTAACAGGGCAAGTAAATACAAATATGTCTAAATTGATCAATTTTTATTTATGACACAGGTGCTTAGAAATATAAAATGGAATAGAGGAAGAATGTAGGGAGTAGCTTCCAGGGTAACCATATCTTGGACCTTGTGTATGAGAGATAGAGACTGACTGCTTCTGTATTGCTTTTTCCCCCTCTTCCTTTAACTTATTAAGCTCTCTTTATCTTGACTCACAAGTTTCCTGATTTTTGCTCTTTCTATTCTCCCCCCTGTCCTGTTGAACATGGGGAGTGAGGAAACAGCTAAAACTGTGCTTGGCTGCTGGCTGGTATCAACCCATAACACCTCAGAGCCTCACCTGATTAACAATAGTCTCACCTGATAAGCTGTAGTTTTCTGTAGGATTGTGACTTGATGGGACAATGGTGTCATTTTAGGCCTCTGTTAGCTACCATAATACAGTATTGCATGCTGTATAATGCAAATGATGAAATACACAGAACAGAACCAGAACAAGCCATTGACTTTTTTCATGATTCGCTAACACTTTATTCACCTTGTGTATCTCAGCATGTCTCTTGTCAAGAGCTTCTAAAATCCATAGAGATACATTAGAACTTCTGTTTCCCCCTTCTGGTTCATTTTGATTAGATTTCTTTTTCAAGATTACACCTTGGTAAGATCATGGTCTACCTTAACAAACAGGCAAGGCAAAGAGGTGGAAGGAACAGAGCTGAGCCCCACGACTGCACTTTTTGCCTCTGTAAAGGCCTTTTACTTAACTGTAGGATAGCATATCTTGAAGACAGAAAGTGATTCCACAGAGGACCATGTTAAAGTAGCTCAGTTTATTTGTCAATAAAAGTGATTCTAACTTCAGCAGCATGAGCAGGTTCCAGAACCTATCCCCCTTACCAACACCAGTGTATGCACACGTACAGAGCAGCTGTACAGGTCACATCCCACCTCCCACTGACAGCTGTGACTGCTGCTTCATCCTGTGCACACACAGCTGTCACCTCCCTCTCCCTCTCTCTAGCAAGAGCTACAGTCTCACTCATCCTCCTGCACTTGTGCTGGGAGATGAGCTGTAAGGGAGTGGTTGTAGAGTGTTGTTGTGTTACTGTTAGGGAAAGTAAGACACTGCTGCAGCAGGAGTGGGAGCAGTGGAAGGAGTCCTTTGCTGGAAGAAGCATAATTTCAGCTCTCTCATAAACTGATCCAGCTGTTCAAGCACTTGTTTGTCATTTTCTCTGGGAAAAAGTGTCAAAGTGAATGGAAGTGCAGAAACTTTGATTGATGCATACTTGGCTATTGTTGGTGCTCAATGTATAGAATGGAATAGAGTTGACCCCCAAAAAACTATGTTTTAAAGTCTTTTGCTTAACAGTTGTGTTCCTCTTTGAATATTTGAAACAGTAATTCCAGCTATCTTCTGCTTCAGAAATACCTCTGCTTGTAATGATTAGCACATGAGATGTGAACACTGGTGGTGGCATTCAGAGTTCATACAAATGGCATACAGAGTTCATACAGTCTGGCACAAAGGGAGCCTGGCCCATGACCAGGAATTTTTTTGTGCTGCCATACATAAGGTACATAATGTATCTAATGTACATAATTTTCTCTAATGTTTAACACGAAGGTAACATTTCCTTAAGAAGCCAAGGTACTTTCAGTTCTGCAGACAAAACCTTTATTCTCTCTTTGCTCTGTATCAGTTTGCTATAATGTGCTCTATTTGCTATCTACTCATTTGAGAAAATGTTAAACTAAATTAAATAATTCTATAGATTTTTTTGTTCGAATGCCTTTTTTTCTTGCAATTTAATGAAATATAGTTGCATCCATTATCAGTTAAGTGTGTGCTTGTTGGAGGCTATTCACTTTTAGCCATTTGGAAAAATGCCAAGGATAACAGCCTTTATTACTAAGTTACCTGGCTCAACTAATTAACCAATTAGAATATTAATTCTCATAAGTCTGCAAGCAACACAACATTTTAGTCTTTGGTGTAATGTGAAGAGACAACATTCCCTTCAAAATAATTTTAGACTCTACTCACATACATGGCCTTTTCATTCATATGGTCAGTTTTTAAAGGAATTTCCTTCTTTACCACTTACCTTATCAGCAAAAGTACAGACCACACCCAGCCTTTGTGGTAGTCATAACCAGTTAAGTAAGCTTCTCTGTGTTTATAAGTGGCTTTCAGCTAGTGCCTACAGCATTGCTAGTGGGACACCATGGAAATTCTGTTCAGATTGTACTGTACATCAGGTAAAGGATCCTTTCTTACAGCAATAATACAAAGATTTAAATTATGCAACTGTATAAGAATAGAACATTTTCTGCATATATTTGTAAATGTGGACTGGATGGATTTTTATTTTTCACTGATGCTTGCAGCTCAATGTTTTAGGTTTATGTTCAGGCTTAAAACATAAGAAATGCCATAAGACAAAACATCCTTTTCACACTTCAATGACACTGTGTCCTGAAATTCCTTCTGAGCATTTTGAAACTCTTGAGGTTTCTAAACTTATATGAATCAAAAGCCACCGATTATTAATAATTTTTTAAAACCATCATTTGTGGTTAGATTCTATGCTGTGTGGATGATATGATATTGAAAGTAACTAATTTGAACAAACAGCCAATATTCTACAGAGAGACTATTCTCTCTTTATATATATACCCGACAGAACATAAAATTGTCTATATTGTGCCTAATTTAAGATTACTCTATTTTTTTTCAAACCAGTCATAATTCATAAAAGTTATTGCTTCAAATTTTAAAGTCAGCATACAGTGTTACTCATTGTGGATAGACAAATTAGAATATTTCATTTTGTAGCAATTCTTATTTTTTGCTAAATAGATTTCTCTTCTGAATCTTTTGTGGTTACCAATAATCAAAAGAAATCATCAGCAAACTGTATAGAGATACACATACATAGACCAAGTAGGATTAAAGTATTAAACAATGTATACTAAGAAAGGTTTATCATTTCCTTATGAAATAGCTTGAATGCTTAAAAGTAACTGTATAAATAGTGGTAAAGATTAGCACATAGTCCTGATCTGTAAAGGATCAGAATACACTTCTGGATGTCTGGATGTTCTCAAGTATTTCTGTTGGGAGTTGTTCAGACTACATTAGTAGCAACATAAATTCCATTAATATAAACTGCTGCAATACCACATATACATAGATGCTTTCAAAATAAGAAAATACGTTTTTGTGCCTAGCCTACTTCAAATTGTGAAACTAGAGCTGACAATCCTTCCTGACCCACCAGTGAGAGAAAGCACTGTCTTCTACACTGAATTCAGACCTTTGCAAAAGAAATTGCCATTTAGGCATTTGAACCAAGAAAGAATTGCAGTGATAAATTAGAATGGCGATCATGCCTGTACCTATCATAAAAGCAATTTTCCAAAAATCCCATAAAATGTTTATTCAGAGCCACCACAGTCTTACTGACACTTCTCAGCTTCTCCTCCACTGATATTAAACTGTTGGTAACTGATGAAATACAGCACTGGCAGAGGCCCTTGAAGAATGAAATTGCATTTTCTTCTTGCCTGCCACAGCTATAGAAAGCTGTGCTTGTGAGGTAAAACTCTAAGTAGTAAATACATTCACAGAACCTCTTCATTTGTGAACAATCTTAACGACATAGGAGGCCATGTCATCATCAGCTATGATGTTTGCAGCCAGCAATAATGAACCTTTATCTACTACTGGTACTTTATCAAATGTATATTAATTTTTTCCTTCTAACCTTTTAACTTTTTGTTCTCTGTTGTGTTCCTAGGTTTTTCATGACCAACAGGTTCTATGAAGTCTCGGCTAGAAATTGGTCCACTTTAGATTCAGTTGAGATTGTACAAGATGGAGAAAAGTTTGCTAAATTTAATGTTTCTGGCCTCTCTGCTCCTGCAGAGTATTCATTTCATTGTCAGCTGGTGGGAACAAGCAATCACTATCCTGCAAGGCTGGTTCCATCCAACAACGAGGCAAAAAACTGGGATGTTTTCATTTCCGAGTTGCAAGTGAGTATGCATTGCCATTTCAGAGATAACTCCAAGAGCTATTACTTGCTATTGTAGGTGGTGAATGACACACATTCATAATGCCCTTACTTTCCTTCCACCCTGAGGGAAAATGTAAAAGAAAAGTTGTTCCTTAGGTGAGCTATTCAGTGGAGGGGTAAAAAAGATGCCAGTTGCTGAACAAGGAAAACATGAAAGTACAGCTTTGAAAAACAAAACTATGAAGTTGTCCACAGAAAAAAACTTAATTAAACTAAATGCACTTAATCAGGCAAAGAATGACTAAGTCCTCATGCCTTTTTAATGAATTGGGCTGCTCTTGGAAACAGGGGCCTCTTAGGTGGGTAGCTTATGCTGCTTATTTTGGTTTTATTTGATTTTTTGGTGCATTGTTTACCTAGGAAAGTACAGATTAGTGTGGCTGCATTTTCAGTGACATGGACTGTCTGTACTCCTGCAGATAGAAACAAAGCCCAGTGCAATTAGATTTAATGGGAAGTTTGCCATGGACTTCAGTCAGGAATGGTACTAGTTCCTGCATGACCCAGAAGGGAAGCAGCTTCCTTTTTTTGAATGACACATAGCTTTTCAGCATGTTTAGTAGCAGTTCAGAGTACATATGTGACGTGTAGATGATTACACCTTTACTACTTTGAGTTTTTTCTTGCCTTAAGCATGACAACATTTATATCTTAAAACAATATTACACTATGGGATCTCTTTGATGAAAGAGATCATGAAAATAATAGGAATAATTCCAAATTGTACTCTATTTGTCAAACATGAGCTAGCTCCATGATAACTGGGTACAAATTCTGATATTATTGTATTTATAATTTTGATAACAAACCAAATCTCAATAATCTGACTCTAGACTTGACACTTCACTTAAGCAATGGAAATCTCATAGAAAATCGTTGGTGCTTAGATTTATTTTCCACAAATTCCAGTTTCAAGTCTCACCATTTTTTGAGAAACAATGTTGCAATACATACCAATGTTGTGAAGGTTCCTTATGATGTTATTTTTATGTAAAGGTCTGAAAATGCCATAGTTCATGCAACTGTACTTTTCCTAGTCATCTCTTTGGAGTTAGGCTTTCACATCACTGAGATATGAAAGGACACGACCTATGAAAGTACAGTGTACATTTACCACATATCTTTTCTTTCAGTTTCTATATGCACTGATATTACTACCTTCTTAAAGCTTAAAAAGACCTTGCTCCAACCTTAGTAGGCATCCTTTCATTGTTGTCTTAGCCAACATTAGAAGTAGTTGTTTCCCACCTTCCTTATTGATTTGAAACAGCAGCTACTTCCACTCTGTTCAGACAACAGAATCTCCCGTTCCTCTTGAGAAAGGACTTTTTCTCTGATCAAGTCCTTAACATGGAACACAATCTGAAAACTCCTAGTCTGATATTTTTCTGCTGTGTGAGAAAACAGAAGGTCACCATTCTGGGCTCATTTCCAAGTTCTACCTGACCTAGATCATACTTTTCCAGGTATCTTCCACTGATACATGCTGAAAGGTGATCTCAGTAGCAGTCTTTGTTACTGCATAAGGTTTAGAAACCTTCAAACTCTATTTCATGGTGAAAAAAGCATGTGGGATGTGCTCAATAGTTGCAGCCAGCACAAAATCTTGTTGCTGAAGCTGAGGAACATGATTTTCATGTCAGTGTTATGCAATGAATTAGAAACCAGGATCCAAGGCCAATCAAACGGGCACAATTGCACTTTGCAATGCTGGGTCCTGGAAGCTGAATCACAGTAATAGAGGAACAGTGGCAGCTACACAGGGAAGCCTTGCACAGCTTGTTCCTAGGCAAGGTTGAACAGGTGTAGCTTTTTACTTCACTCAGTTCTGGAGCTGCAGCACTCACTACCATCTAAATGAAGATATGTGGGATGCTGGCTAGGCATGCTCACAGCCTAGGATGTCACCACTCCTGTGTCACCACACCTCTACAGAGCACCAGGTTTGGTGGGGGTTTTGGTGGTTGTTGTTACAGGAATGGTTGTTCTACCACAATATCTTTTGTCCTTTTGAGGATCTCATTTGTCAATGAAGTTAAAGAGGAGGCTGCCACCAAAAGCACTGCTTTTCTTTAGTATGTGTGGTTCAGAAGTACTTTGAAACCTATGAAAAGCTGCCAAAAAACTTCAAAATCAAGACTATTTTGATTCTTTGTAGTGAAAATACCTCAAAGTTCAAAAATTAGAACCTTGGTGTGCACTTAAGAAATTATAAACCCTGCATATTTTACTTTAAGTTTTTGTCAAAGGTCATATGATGAGAAATCTGAGTTTAAAAATATTTAAAAATTAACAGTAAATACAGACTTGTATAATCAAGACAAATGACTGGTCTAAACACCAAAATTAAGACTTCCACTGGAGAGAGGCCTGTATACAAAAGACTTTTGCATTCATAAATATTAGAGAACCACACCTAAGTATTTTTAAATTTTCTATATATGCTGCTAAGATTCTCATTTTCTGTCTGGTATCTAACACCTCCACAGAAATGATAAAGCTTCAAAAAACAGTAAAATAACCCAGCATATTCTTCATCTCCTTCCTATAACTAGACATAGCATTTTAGGAATGTACAATTGAATCTTTCACCTAGATGGTTCAAGAAGCATAATCCTGTTTAAAAAAAAATAAGACCACTAGAATTTAAATAATAAATTTCAGTATTTATGGCTCTAAAGCAGGAGCAGCAAAGCCCTTCTAAACTGAATATACCTGTTAAGAACTTCAGAGTCCTTGTAAATGTGGTAAGAACTGTGTATTGTTTTCCACAATTTCAATCCATTTTTTTAAACACAAATGACATGAATCATCACCTTCTGTCTGTTTTTATTGTCACTAAGTCTTTCAGGATACATTTCACTACTCCTATTCACATTCTCACTTGTGGTCAAAACAGTGGCTTAACAAGCAAAGGCTTTTGCAATCATGTATTCTCTAAAACGGTGCAAATAGTTGTCCAGCCCTGCAGCTTATTTTCACTAATCCTGCTTTAATCAGAAGTCTCAGTACCTTTGGTGAAAGCAGACAGTCTTTGTGAGTTAGCTACCATGATTTGACTTGGAAAGTTTCTTCTAAAAGGTTGAATTGCCAAAATTGTCTTCACCTCCACATTATCTAAGGAGTCTTTAGTTCCTCACATAATATTAGTTTTATTCATCACCATTCTGGAAGGTACAGACATTGCTCATAACACACATATTACATAAACATTAACTTTAGGGACCTGAGCCATGACTGAATGCAAACCCAGAGTGTTTACTGGTGTATTTGTTGCATGGTAGATTTGTGCAGTTCGTGCCAAAACCTATCCTAAGAAGTACAAACTCTTTTATTACCACAAATGAACTCAAGCTTTCCATTTATTTTACTGTAAATCACAGAATAATCATGGTGTGGGAACAAATAAGGTAGAAATCCATTATCTTCTGCTTTCTTGCTTGGGTGAGAGAAGTGATTTAAATTATTTTATTTAAATAATATTTTTTAATTGTATTTGATATTTTATTTAAAATAGTGATTTTTAACATGTAGTTTCTTTACCAGTGAGTTAATGATATTTGATGCCTTCCTTACACACCCATTTCAAAGATTCTGTAAATACGTAAGAATTCCAGTCTTCATTTTTCTTTATAAATTATTTAGGAATGAATCAAAACTAGATCAGATTAATTCTTTTCCTTCCTCTTCTTCCAACAGTTTTGTTCCCTTCCTTCTAAAGGTACTTATGCCATTATCTGCATTTTTGTAGAGGGCATATTGTCTTCCCTTTATTCATAGTCTTCTAATCCTTTGATTGGTTTGAACAAAATTTCTAGGAAGTTAGTGGTCTCAAAGGCATTCAGTTTGTTGATATTTTTGTACAATTGGGATCTAGACAGAGAATATATCTCCAAATTTATTGATTTTTCTGAGGAAAATAATATGGTTGGAGGATGGTTAGTGGCAGACATTGCGAAACCAGTCAAATCAGAAATATTACAAACTCTTCTAAATGCTGAAAGAGTTTTTATAGCTCTTATAAGTTAATAGACAACACCTATTGCATACCTCAATAAAGGAAGCCTTTCCTTCTGTTTTGAGTCTTTGATGTCTAAGGAGGGAGGGAGAAAGATTTCACAACTTTTTTTCTCCTTGAACTTTCACTAAAACTCAGCCGAAAAAGGTCATCTTTGTTAGGTGCCTCTTGAGGTAGGTTCTAGGAATTTTATTTGTGAAGGAGCTATGAGCTAGAACTCTCAGACTATTTCAACAAGTCTTGCGATCTGAGCAGCCTTAACTCTCATGTGTTTGAGTGCTTAGACTTTCCTGGTTCTGAAGTGGTCATAGAGCTGATGATCAATGAATACTGATATTCTGATTATATGAATACAGAATACTGATCAGAATACAGAGAATGCAGAATACTGATCACATGTCCCCTCTGGGACTTCACTTCTAAAAGTAATACAAATTTCTGAAGTGGGGAACCTACTTCTTACAAAAGAAATGGATTCTACATCTTTAATTTCCTGGTTGAAAAGAGATCTGGAAAATTGTTTTGCAGAGGATTTTGTTCTACTTGTTTTTTAATGGGCAGAGTTTGACTGATAGTTAAAAGGTGCGGGTTTTTGTAATCACCACATATATCCTGAAAGTAAGGACTATGCATAATTGCACTCATCTATCTACCTTTCCTCATTTTCAGATTCAAGGCTTCAACATTATAAACAACCAGTTTTCCTATGCAAGTGACTGTACAGGTTTCTTCACCCCTGGAATTTGGATGGGCTTGGTGACATCTATAATTTTACTGTGGATCCTGACCTATGGAATCCATATGATCATGCAGCTCACAACAAACAGCAGATTTGATGATCCTAAAGGTCCAGCTCTATCAGTTCCTCAGACAGAATAGCCATGGATTGAATTAATGGCACTGTGGCTTTTCCCAGTCTGATGTTTATGATTTTTATAAACTTTTTATTTCATAATATGTTTAACTTAAAAAATATATCATAAGAAAACCAGCTAATTAAACTACATATAAAAATGATCCTTATACAATAATAATTATATCTGTTATTATGATCATTTGTTAACAGCTTTTTGTGCTGATGTTCTGAAGTAAGACTATAGAGGTTATTACATTCTCTGGCTATTAGAAAGACCATTAAAAACTTCCTTCAGATTAACGTTTATTGGCAAAGAAAGCATACCAAAACATGTATAATTGTGAAGGATAAAATAATCTATGAGAAACTATATATTGAAAATACTGATCTCTCTAAAGGCTCTTTAGTGTCATGATGATGCTGTGTCTTAAGAAATTTTAACTGTGTTTTGAAATATTTTCTCTTGAATAAAACATCCAGAAATGTACAGAACTAATAAAGTATTAGTCACTAAATAAATGGTCCTGAGAAGTCCTTTCAAAATACATCACTTTGCTCAGATGTGATATCACAAAGGAGAATGCGTCGATTAAGGTTTATCTTCCATCTAATATTATCTTACATTTGTGAGAATTTAATGCTGACTTGTGCTTGCTTTAGCCATGGACAGCTGATGGGAGGTGAGTCAGTGGCAGATAGATCTTTGTCCAAACTGATCAGAAAATTAGATTTACTGTCATGGAATTATGGAAATGAATGCAAATTTTCATGTTCAGAACCTATTATGATTCAATGTGCTGGTGCAGACAACATCTTAGCAGCAATAAAGTGGTTTTCTTAGCCTCTTCCATTTTCCAGGCATGTTTGGAAAAGTTATGAATTTCATAAAAAAATAAAAATCATATTACATAAAATCATTAGAAGCACTGTGCCAATGTAGTGTTTAAGTCTGAGCATTTTATGGGCATCTCAGTGCTTCTAGAAACCTGAAAACATTCACACTGTGCTTTTCTACAGCAATTCATAGAAACACTACCTCTTCTAATTGAGTAATCTGATTATGGAGTGAATTACTAAATTTTATGTAGAACTAGGAAATAGTAAAAGATCAATAGTAAAATGGTAAAAAACGTTAAAAATAAGACTTTTATTCTTTCTTCTGGAATGTTTTTTTTAATGACTGTGCATGTTCAATTAGTAGTTAAAATTCCTAAATATTCCTAAAAATATCATTTTGACAAAATTACATTCATGAAATAAGTTCTAACTTTTCTCATCTTGATCCATGTCATAGTACAATGATACAGAGGAAAGACAGTTAGAATCAACTATTTAACTAGACAGACAACAGTTTCTATCTATTTTTATCCATTTCTGGGTGTCAGACTTTTATTATGCAGTCCAAAAAGTAGATTAAATGCTGTCTGAAGCTATTCCTTCTGACTCATTCAATCCTTACCCGGAAAACAAAAGTGTCATATAACTAGCAGAGGTGTCTCCTGCGCTCTAATATTTTTCCCAAATGCTTTTCAGAACCTCAAAGAATGCATTTGATCTACACAGAATCTCTGTGTTTGAAAGGCATATTTTCTTTGCACAAATTAGTTGCCAGGAGACAACTGGACTTGTTTTATTAATTCTCCCTTTGAAACAAGTTGTATGAATGTGACGACAGAAAATTGACATAATAGTCATGTAACTATTGCTAGAAGAGGGAAAGGCTATGCAAAGGACTTGATTCATAGAAAACAGCTTTCTTAGGACTTCTATCTAGCTTCAGTAAAATTTGGAAAAGATTTTGTTCAACAGTGGTGATAAAAAGAACTGATGAACTCTACCAGGCCACTTAGTTTAGGATTCTATCTCCAGCAATGGTATGAGTATGGTGAGCATCTGTCAGTGCTCTCTGATGATGTTCTCCATTCTCCACCATTTAGCTCAGGTACTTACTCAACCAGAGGTGTTGCCTTTGTATTTAATAACTCTGGGTACAGCTATAGCCCATGAATTTGTTCAGCCTGCTCTTGAGCCTCTGCAGCTCACCGTGCCCTGATGCTAGTATGGACTGGGACTGCTCATATCCTCTCTAGCTTGCCTAGGATGGACTCTGGAGAAGAGGGTGAGGAAACAGTCTCATATTCACTGTACTATGAGGAAAAGATAACCCTCTTTCAGAAGAGCTGTTTGATGTGTTTGGTGTTACACGTTCCAAAGTGAAGGTGAAGGCATTTTTAATGGAGAAAAGCTTTTTCTTTATACGTTCTCTCACAGCAAGGATACCATGCTTTGGCAAGTAGTTCCTGTGGGGGCATATAGTCTGTTTCTATAGTGACTTCGGATATCTTTGTAATGGAAAAATCAAACCGCAGGCTTATCCTTGTGATGTCTGTGCTGGAAAACACATCAGGAAAAGAAAGGAACTGTGTGTCTCTAGCTGTCCTGTGGGCCAGGTGGTCTGGGCTCTGGGGACAATGGCTGTCTGTCATGGCAGGGAACTGCTGTCTGTCCACATGGGATGGATTCACCTTGGCTGGCTGGCAAACATGCACCCTGCTGCTCGGGCCTCTTCTCACAGGGGCCACCCCTGCTGACAGCACCTGGACACAGACATCCAAAAGTCCACCATGCAGGCTGCTAGATCCCCATGCCCTCTGAAACCCCTGCACATCACACTCCCATGGCTGCAGACAAAGACAACTGATCGCTCACTTCAGCAGGGCTGGCTTCCTTCTCTGTAAATAGGACTGTGCCTCAGGAAATTCTAGGAGGATTTTGCACCTGTCTGTGTTTGTTTCCCTTTCTGAATAAAGTTGAAACCCTGTCAGGAGCCTTCCAGTTCTGCATACTTCTGATTTCACAATTCAGCTTAATCATAAATGTACCTGTTAAAACATGCCTGTTTTGGGAGCTGTTCCAGACAGAATATTAGCTCTGTCTGGAAAAGTGTGAGCCTTTAGGACTTCTACCAGGGTTTGCTGAATTTATCAGAAGTACTGACTTCTGTATGTGTTAACTCATTTCTCTACCAATTAAAAAAATATATAGTAAAGATGAAGGGGATGGTGGGTAAGTGTATGAGTTGGAACAGTAAAACTTTTTTTCATTTGCATATATAAAAATTAAATTTAATGGAAAAAATCAGGCACTTAAAAAAACTATGGCAAAACTAAAAAAAAATCAATTTACCTCTCAAGAATCAAGATTAAAACCAGAGAAACCCCAAAACTAAACACAAAAGCCCTGATGAAATAAGGTATTTCATCACAAAATTCAGCAATAATCATTTATTGAAAGAGATTGCTGAGATGAAACTAGAATCTGAACCTTCTGATTTGTGTCCTGGTCTGTTGGTTTCTCTGCCTGTGAAATTACTCAAATTACTCATTTCACAAACCATGCAGAAAATGACTTATAGTGACACAATTATAATAGAAATAGTCCAAAAATAATATTTTTATGTAGGCAGTAAAGGAAGACAGGTTATTCCATCTGCAAGGAAAAACTCAAGGAAGTAATTAGCTCCACCTTTCTTTCTGTGTGACTAATAAATTATATGTGTGATAAATGTGATTCGTGTTAATTAAATTGTAACTATATTAACAAAATTGTATTTAGATCAATAGAAGACAATTGTTACAGAGTGAGGGGGGAGACGGGTGAGACAGGACAAAGGACATCTTCCAGATGTTGGGAGTAGAAGAAGGAGGTTGGAAGAAAGTCAAACAAGAACAGTAGAAGGACATAGATCTGACAAGCAGCATCTAGAAATAGAAAGGTTCGACCTTGAAATGGACCAAAATGATTCCAATGAATGATTCCAAGCATGGGACTCAATTAAAGTCTTGTTATGGAAAACATCTGCTCAGTCACACAGGGCGCCTGCGCTACCTGCGGGTCACACCTCGGTCATTGAGGAAAACAATGAGCCTTCATCGGAAATAAGACCCTCAAAAGGATGAGACACCCCCTAACCCATTAGCAGAGCATGCACCATACACATAGTGACACACATTTTAGGAATAGAAACTAGGAGGAGTTTTCTAGAAACTTCTGTAGCCTACAGTATATAAGTG